GCCCACTAACATAAACAGATGTGGGTGAATAAATAGAATCAGATCAGGGGAAGATATAAGGGTATAATATTTTTGAAAAAGTAATAGAGGCTGAAGTATCGTTAATTGATTTTGTTTTATAAAATCTTGTTATGTTGTGGAATTAGTTTATTTAAGCATTTTTTAATCATGCACTATTGAAACTTAAAGTGTTTTTCACCTTTTTCAAATATAAAATATATAAACATTTGTCAATCATATAATCTTGACCACAGCTGTACCTTAACTCATACACCCACTTGCGCTCACACACACACATTGAAGTCTTGCCACAACGTGGAAAAAGTTTTGCCGCCGAGCACAAATGTTATTTTCGTCGCTGTTTTTGCCCCTTAAGGATAGTGCCAGTGTGCGAGGGAGATAGTGTGAGTGAGGGAGCGAGTGAGGGGAAAGCGGAAACGGAAGTCGGGACTTGCCAACCGCAAACTTTTCATGTAGCAAAAACGGCACTTCGAGAGAGCTCAGGCTTTTTGCACGCCCGCGAATGTGTGTGTTCAAATAATTGAGTTGGCATTGGTCTCTAAAAACAACATAATTACCGTAATTAATTGTAATTAAAGTCAAATAAATTATGTGCAATGCAAAATTTGCCTATTCTGTTAGTTTTTTGTTTTCGGTTCCGACTCAAACAACTGTAACAACCGCTGCGAGCAACAAATGCTGGCCCAAAAACCCGTCTAGACCCATTGACACTTACAAGCGCCAGCTCTGTTGGCCTTCTAACGGTTTCTGGCATCACGCACACAGCGACAGAAGGCCCAGCAACAACTGGCGGCCAACGAAAAAAACACGAAGCGAACTGAACCACGGCAACAGCCACTCGAAGAGCGTCTAAAATTTGTACCTACAACTATTTCAGCTAATTCTGCAGCGCATTCCCTAACAACACTTTGTGTTCTGGTTTCCCCCGCCAAACTTCTGCCTCATGCGAGGTGCTGAAACTCTTCCTGAGATCTTGAGAAAAGCCAAACCAAATTTTTTATTGGCTGCAACACCCGCACAGTGGGTGCAGATGAAGTAGATCTCAGGAATTCTTGCTAAAAAAAATATTTGAATGGATAAATTAATATCATGTTTAAAATAATTAAACTATATTCTGAAATAAATGTGGGACGTACTTCGCCAGTGCAGTTTTATCTTTCATTAGAATATATTTTATCTGAGTCATGTAATCCCTTTAAAGCCTTTTGCAAAGTTGTTTTTTAGCCACTGTATATAAGCCCTGTATCCGCTGTTGGCCCGCTGCTCCCTCCACTTCACCACTCCACCTCTCCCAGCGATCTCTTAAGATCGCGTTTGCCGCGACGCATGCGCAAAATGCCGAACAATTTTCGGCGCAGCTGTGCCTGACTGAACTTATCTTGGGGATCTGGATCTGTACCCCGTCACCCGTCCCCTTCCCTTCCCCCGCAGACCCACAACGCTAACTACGCTGACAGCGAGAAGTGCCGAAAAGAGCCAGGCCAACGGGCAGCAACAAAAGTAACAAAAGCAACAAAGCGGCCAGAACGATCCGGCCTGGTTAAGCTGCACTCGTTTGCCTGTCGCTCATTTGGCGGCCCGTCCATTCGGTTTCGCTTTGGTTCGTTCTTGTTAACTGCCGTTCGGCGGGACTCGCAGTCGCAGTCGCAGTCGAAGTTGGAGTTGGGGATTTTGGCCATAAGTGGTATAATTTGGGCTGCTACATTATGTCGCGCACACAGATACTCGTACACTGAGCCGAAAAGCCCGGCGTCTCCGCAATTAAACGTGTGGGCAATTGGCAATTGGCGACCAGAGGCGTTCGGCGGCCAAATGAGTGGGTTAGTTAGTGGGCCGTGGCTCTGATTGGGCATTTCGTGGCATAACTAACCCGCAATGTGTCCAAGTAACACAGTTCCAACTGCATTCGCCTGAAATTGCAATTGCAATTCGGATTGCAGTTGCAACAGCAGCAGCATGCAGCATGTTGCGGCTGTTGGTGGGGAATGCGTGATACTGCCGAGATTTCGGGGAGATAACTGCCCGACTAGCGGCCTAAATGGACACACGGCGCAGATCTGAGGCATTAGGAATGCGATATCTGGGAATTTGACTAATTCCCCTTCAGCACATCCATAAACGCTTCCCACGCACCCAAAAGTCTTCCCATTCTTGGACATCCCGCGATAGCATCGCGAACAAAATACTCTTCGCTATCGAGGGTGGCTTTGTGACTTCCTCAAATCGGCAATCGACTAGCCGAGTTAAACAAAAGATTAAACAAAACGTGGCTACAAATTATGACCGCCAGTCAGTCGGTGGGTTTGAAACCCCAGACTATCTGAGATCGGAGCTCTGTCCGAAGGGCCAATAAATTACCACCGAAACTCAGAGTTGTGCAGCTGCGGATGCGGATGCGGATGCGGATGCATAATGGGTGGTTCAACATCCACCACACGTGTCTGCCACTCTTATCTAGCGACTGCAGTCGCCGCACAAGGGGGCGTGGCTGCGTGACCTTCGCCAAGTTTTTGGCCATGTTTGTCATGTTTACACCTCCCACAGATCCACAAAACGGAGCGGAATCGCAATCCCCTGCAGCAGCTGCCGCCTGTACTTAAGACTGATATGATAATGAGGGCTTCCTCTGGCAAGTATCCCGCCGAAATAAATCATGGTTAAGCCCCACTATGTTAATTGGCCCAAAGGGCCGGCCAGAGAGTCCGTTGCAGAGAGACAAAGAGAGAGGACCAAATTGGACGCACAAATTCCTGCCAATTTGAGCAATTTTCGCCCAAAAAACAAAGCTGTTTCAGCAGTTGGGTGTCGGCAGTCGGGAGTCGGCACTTGAAGAGCCTCCAACAAACACTCGAATACGCAAATTTAAATAAAATCATCAAGAATCGGAAATTTGAATTTCCGAAAAGAGGCACTCAGCTGGTTGGTTGGTAGCCAGGTAGCCTAACCAGCGGGCCATCCATTCCAGCGACTCGACCCGTCCACTTCAACCTGGCTTGGAGCTAACTTTTTGGTCTGCCGATGCCGATGCCAATGCCGCTGTCGGTGTCGCTGGGCTTTTTAGCCTGGCCGAAATGCCGGTCCGTCAGTCAGCACCTCATTCAAATGGCCCCCGACGTCTGTCCGTGGTCTCGAGTTCTGGTTCTCCGGTGGTTCAACGGGCTGTGTCCTAAGTGCACCACTCTGCCTGCCCCACAACGTCTTCTCGAATCGTTCTTTTCGTTTCGTTTCGTTTCGATTCGCTCCGCTCTTTCTTCCCCAGTTTCTGTTTCAGCCAACTTTCAGTGCTCTTCCTGCTGAAGTGCATACAATTGAAATAATTTCCGTGCGCCCCCCAGAAAACGGAGGAAAAGGGGGCGGGGCAACCTTCCATCCTCCGTCGAGTGCAGCGCACTTTTTGCATAATTAAATTTATTTTTTAGTTGCATGCCATCGTTTGTAGGTGGTACTCGGCATAAAGTAGTCGTAATATTTTAATTAAAATTACTTTTGTTTTCAGCCATTGAGTTAGGAATAACAAGCTAGAATGCTTATTACCCAAAAGATTTTTGGGTGGAAATACATTTTATACCTCAAAGTAAGGTTCTATTTCATTATTTCAAATATTTTGTATGGAAAGTATTTCATTACGAATATTTTGACTTATAATAAAATTAATATTTACTTTGAATATTTTAAATATTAAATGTAGTTTTCTTAACCTTCACTCCCTTTGTTATTTTTAATGGGATAAAGCCCAAATTAATCATTAGAGCATAAAAAGTGAAATGTCAGAGTTTCGTGCATTTAATCTAGTTTTTTGGCAGCCAACCCAGTGCAGTCTTGCCCCAGAAAATAGTAATAATAGCGCCTGGGCATTGCCTGTAAGCAATTTCGCCTGGAAGTAGGCTAACAAAATTTATGTCAACTGACTGCGCACAACTTTTGTTAGCCGCAGACTACTCGCCGCCGCACTTTGCCCAGATAATAGGAGAGATGACCGAGGGGGGAACTGGGATTTCTGCATTCCACCGAAAGCCTGAGGAAAACCAAAATGTATCCAAGGGAAAACAAGAGGGAAGAGAGGAGCAGCGAGCGAATAAAAATAAAACTGTCCAGAAATTTTAATATAAGCCACTGCGTTGTTCTCTGGCCGGGAAACTGTGTCACTAGGCAGTAGCACTTCCTTATCCCCACCTCGATTCCTGCCACCTTGGCTGGAGTCCTGGCTAAAGACGGCTGCATTATGGTCGGGCTTAGGGCCAAAGCCCAGATCCTGTTGCAGTGCCTTTTTGCTTTGGCAACCAGCGAACCAACGAGCCAACGAACCAACGAACCGTTTTCGAACAGAAAGCCAATTCCTGCAGCTCCTTTCTCGTGTCGCGCCGTGTGGAGGCATTTTGTCTTTGACAAAAATTTAATACACGGCAGTTTGTCTTTGGCTTTGTCCCCCAAAAAGTTCAACAGCGAAGCACCTGGATCAGGAGCCCCAGAAAAGGAGGTACAAATCTTGTCGCCACTTGCGTGTGCAACAGTAGCAGCAGCCACACCAACTGCAAGCCTCGTGTTTTACATGACAAGCGAGTAAGCGAGTAAATCGCACGGGGTTAAGGGTTAAGATTCTTTCAGTTGTTGCTACGGATAAGTAGTTGCAGTTAGTTTTTCATCTTCAGATCCCACGAAGAACACGAGTCTTTGCGCTTTTGTGTGTTTAATCAGCAATGCATTTTAGTTTTCCCTGCAACTTACTGAGTTTTCTTCAATTGATTTCTTTTAGGTAAATTCGTTGGCGGCTTATTGGTTCCAACAACAAGTTGGGCTTGGGTTCCCTCAAGGGAAACCAGCAGAGCCACCAATGCAAAATAGATATTCATTTTAAAGGAGAAAGATGATGATTCTAAATGAAAAGGAACGAGCAAAACTATGTTATATATAGATTCTAGCCGTAATTAATTTAATTTATTATTGATTTCGTTCCGGATAAAAAGTTGTGCAGAAATAAATCGATTATTTTTCGTTTGTTTATTCAGCAATTCATTTTAAAGGTTTCTCACACCTAAAAAAATTTTATTGAATTGGTTTCATTTAAATGAAATCTCTTATCCTTCATTTCCCTCTCGTACCTATAAATCCTGTAGGATGTTGCGCTCTTACGAGGGGAACCAGTAGAGCCGCCAATGCAATATAGATCTTCATTTTCAAGAGTAAAGACGTAGGTTTCCTTTGAAAAAGACCCAGCTCGACTCGCTTATATATAGATGCTAACCATATCTAATACAAATTATATGTAAATGCCTGCCGTACATAATTAAAAAAAACGTCTTTATTTTTTTATTTATTTCGTTTCGGGTAAAACAGAGGTGAAGTATTAAATCGATTTTTTTTTTTAAAGTTCTTGAACTTTCGTTTATATATTCAGCAATGCATTTTACAGGTTTCTTACACCTTGAAAATTTTTGTTGAATGGATTTCACGTAAATGAAATCTTTTATCCTTCATTTCCTTCTGGCCGCTTTGGTTCTGGAACAAGTCGAGCTTGGGTTCCAACGAGGGAAACTAGTAGAACCACCAATGCGAAATAGATCTTCATTTTCAAGAGTAAAGACGTAGATTTCTTTTGAAAAAGACTTCGCTAGACTCGCTTATATATAGATGCTAACCGTATCTAATACAAATTATATGTAAGTATAATTTACAAAAAAAGGAATTTAATTTCGTTCCGGTTATTTAATTATTTTTCCTTTTTTTTTTTTGTTCGCGTAGCCGTTTACGGCACAATTCGCGGAAATTTGGAGTCGGTGGTAGATCCTATAGAAAACAGTCTGTCATAGTCAATAAAGTACTCTAAAAGGCTCATGCAAGTTATAATCAGATCTGCAATGATTTACTACTAAAGAAACATCATTTCTAGTTAATCATCTTGGCACCGAGAAACGTAGTCTACCCAACAAGACAGGACTGTCAATTTTACCACTTATTAGGTTACCAACAAATACAGCAAGCATAGAGTAGTTCTACATCGTTAGTAAGGGAGGGAAAGTTAATAAGGGACAATCTATTGGAATAGGAGGGTAGGAATAGGTTTGCAATCCAGTTTAGGCGGCGTAGGGCAAACAGTAAAAATGTGAGGAGAGAATTTAAGTTTAGGATCCAAAAGGAAGCCAAGATCGTCAACAAGCGTTATACTTTCCGAAGTTATTGCTGCACCTGTTTTAAAAATTGCTTAGGTCTGATTGAAAATTAAAATGACGGGATATAACAGCGGTAAAGTACTATCACGATAATTTTTTTAAAAGTTCTTGAACTTTCGTGTATTTATTCGGTAATGCATTTTACATTGTTTTGCACCTTGGAAAATTTGGTTTTATTGATTTCATTTGCGATCATAAGGAGGAAGTCGATCATAAGGAGGAAGTCGAGCTTGGGTTCCAACGAGGGAAACTAGTAGAACCACCAATGCAAAATAGATCTTCATTTTCAAGAGTAAAGACGTAGATTTCTTTTGAAAAAGACCTGGCTAGACTCGCTTATATATAGATGGAAACCGTTTATAATACAAATTATAAGTAAATGCTAGCCTTAAATAATTCAATAAAGAGGAATTTCATTTATTATTGATTTCGTTCCGGTGATGTATTTTTTTTTTTTTTCGCTCGCGTAGTGCGACGGAAATTTGGAGTGGGTAGTAACATAGATCCTTTAGAAAACAGTCTATTATATTCAGAATAAAGTACTCTGAAAGCCTCATGCATGTTATAATTAGGTTAGTAATGATTTAAAGCTAAAGGAACATAATTTCTAGTTAATCTACTTAGAAGCGAGAAACTTAGTCTACCCAACAAGTCAGGACTGTCGATTTCACCACGTATAAGGTTACAAACAAATACAGCAAGCATAGTTGTACATAGTTAGTAAGGGGGAAAGTTAATAAGGAGCAATCTATTGGAATAGGAGGGTATGAATAGGTTTGCAATCCAGTTTTGGCGGCGTAGGGCAAACAGTAAAAAAATCTTTATTAAGCATGTACGAAATATGAGGTGAGAATTTAAGTTTAGGGTCCAAGAGGATGCTAAGATCGTCAACAAGCGTTAATCTTTCCAAAGTATTTCCACTTGGCAAATAGGTGAAATTATGCAGAGTGATCCGACGAAACGTCTTGAGCTCGCACTTAGAGCTGTTTAATAAAAGTAAGTTATCGCTGCACCTGTTTTAAAAATTGCTTAGATCTGTTTGAAAATTACAATGACGGGATATAACAGCGGGAAAGTACTATAACGATAATTTTTTAAAAGTTCTTGAACTTTCGTGTATTTATTCAGTAATGCATTTTACATTGGTTTGCACTTTTAAAAAAATTTTTTTATTGATTTCATTTTTCATTTCCCCACATAGATTCCGAAATAAGTCGAGCTTGGGTTCCTACGAGGGACACTAAGAGGGCCACGGTTGCAAAATAGATCTTCATTTTAAAGTGGAAAGATACTGATATCAAAACTTAACCAAAAAAACTCACTTATATACAGTGTTAGCCTTTCATAATTCAAATTTGACTTCTTTAATGCATTATTGATTTCTTTTCGGTTATAAAAGTGGAAAGTACTGAAACGATTAACAAATGTAATCACTCCGAAACAAATACTGTTATAAACGGATTTCGAAAAAAGTCAAGAAAAATATATTCCAATAAATAAAAAAATTTTAAGTTTCTATTATTTGTATTCTTTAAATCTGAATTAATTATAATATTATAAAAAAAAATTAAGTTGCTTGCTCACAACGGCTTTCCAGGAAATATTGTATTATGTTATTATAAATGGTTATATGGAGATGCTATATGGTATAAAATTTAAAAAAGTCCTTAAATTATTATTGATTTCGTTCCGGATAATATAGGGGTAAAGTACTAAAACGAATATTTTTAAACGTTTTTGAACTTTCGTTTATTTATTCAGCAATGCATTTTACAGGTTTCTCACACCATGAAAATTTTTATTGAATAGGTTTTACTTAAATGAAATCCTTTATCCTTCATTTCCCTCTGGCCGCTTTTGGTCCGGAACAAGTCGAGCATGGGTTCCCACGATGGAAACCAATAGACCCAAGGATGCAAAACAGAACTTCATTTTCAAGAGGTAGATTTCTTTTGAATAAGACCTCGCTAGACTCTCTTATATGTGGATGCTAACCGTATATAATTCCCTTAAAAATCATCAGCTCGCACTTAGAGCTGATTAAATGAAGTAAGTTATCGTTGCACCAGATTTGAAAATTGCTTAGGTCTGATTGAAGGTCTAAGTGACGGGATATAACAGCGGTAAAGTACAAAATCGATAGTTCTTTAAAAGTTCTGAAACTTGCGTATATTTATTCAGTAATGAATTTTACATTGTTTTGCAGCTTGGAAAATTTCGTTTAATTGATTTCATTTACCATTCCAAGGAGGATGCCGTACCTTAAGTCGAGCTTGGGTTCCAACGAGGGAAACTAGTAGAACCACCAATGCAAAATAGATCTTCATTTTTCAGAGTAAAGACGTAGATTTCTTTTAAAAAAGAGCCAGCTAGACTCGCTTATAAATAGATGCTAAGCGAATATAATGCAAATTATATGTAAATGCTAGCCGTATATAATCTTAAAAAAGTTTTTAATTTATTTATGATTTCGTTCCGGATAAAGTAGGGGTGATTAAAAATGTAGGTAATCACACCGAAACAAATACTGTTATAAACGGGTTTAAAAAAATGTCAAAAATGTTAAAGTTTCCTAGTTTTTGTATCCTTCTTATCTAAATTAATTTTAACATTTAAAAAAAAGTAAAGCTGCTTGCTCACAATGGCTTTCCAGAAAATATTATGTTTCAGAATTTTCGGCTCATCCTGAAAAACTTGCTCATATTCAAATTGCATATTTTGCCGATCCAAACAATTTAAGCCAGTTCTCGCAGCGCTTTTCAATCTGTTGACCATCTGCAGCTGCAAATTAGGTCGCTGAAGCCGCTGCAGTAGTTGATGTTGCTGCCGTCATTGTTGTCACATTCGGTTGGAATTCGCTGGCAATTTTCGCAAACTGCTGCAACACGACGGCAACAATGCCAGCGCATATGTGGCAGGACTTCCATTCCCATTCCCATTCCCATTCGCATCCCCAAACCCATTCCCATACGCAATCGCATTCGCATTCGGAAACCCTTTGCCGAAAGCGGCCCATGTTCCTGGCGTGGCCAATGTCGGTTGGCCAATGGCTTTTAATTGAAAGCGGCACATTCGGAGCGGCAGCAGGCCCAGTTAAAAATTGTAATTTCCATTTCCCAGACAACGACTTCTTGCTGCCTTTTCCCATTTTTTGCTTTTTTTTGCGAGTGGCTTTAAAATTGCCGCCGGGGCAAGTTCCTCGGGCCGTTCTTTATAGGATGTTGCTGTGGTTGCTGCTGCCGCCAAATTAAATTGGCTTTAAATTGACACCTCCGGTGGCAGGATACCCAACACTCTCATACACACTCACACTCGCACAGGCCCCCACACATCCGCGTTGCTTAACTTTATTAAGGATTTCGTGCTGCAGCTGCTGCCTTCGGCCCTTGCTTCTGCCACTTTTTGTTGCCTTTGCCACGCCCTCGCTGCAGCAGCGGCAGTTAATAAAGAACCAAATTATTGTGTTGTTCACACTTTGACACATTGAAACGGAAATTTAATTAAGGATTTTTTCAATAAAACTGCCCTGTTTATTGCCCGCGAGCTTTAAGTTCCCGCCAGTGCAGTTTGCAGCCGGAATTGAAGGCGATATCCTCGAGCAGCTGTGACTGCATGTTCATGTATAAATAAAGCGCCAGTAAAAATTAGTTTGCATGCGATGGCTGTTTCCATTCGAAGGCGGCAATACGGAGCGTGCAACTTGCCCCCGAGGAGCGGGAGGAGGCAGGAGGCCTCCAAGAAGATGCCGCTGGCAGGGCGGCACTTCACTGCGCAGCAACAAAAGAACTAATTAAAAAATTAATCTAGCTTAAAGTTCCATTAGAGCGCCAGCGAAGTTTGCGGCAAGCAAGCTTTCCCCCAGCTTGTTATGAAGACAAGATGGGCGAACGGGCGGACGGGCGAGGCGGGGGGAAATGGAAAAACTTTTCTAGTGCAGCGTTGCTGTGTGCCAAAGACAAGGACAACAATGCAATGACCGGAGCGGAAGTGGAGCGGCGGATGCCTGGAGCGGAAGCGGAAGCGGAAGTGCAAGCAGTGTGCAAAAAGTCTAC